ACCGAGGAGGGATCACTAGTCGAGTTAGTGAGGATAGAGGGAAGGGTCGTTTGGTACGAGTAGCGTTGGGATTTATTTTATTGCTAGGTATGGACCCGAGGAGCGATTTTGTTTTCTTTAGAACTACTTTTATTTTTTTTATGGATGTTATTGTTAAATGCGTCACTGTTGTCGTTGGAGTTTAGGTGTACGATTGTTTTATTTATTTAAGAATTTTAGCCACTGAGGCGGATATGAGATGTCTTTTTTTTTAGATTGCCCACGAAGAGCGAAGTTTCGACAGTTTACAAAATTGATATTTTTGGTGGAATTGTGGGAGTCGAAGCTTTATTTTATTTAAATTATTTCCCAGGGAGTTGGTTATCTCGTGTTTAGAGTTAAGGCTAGACAGGTGGATTATTTAGCATTACCTAGGATGGTATATAACATCCTGGGGCGTTACAACATGACCACTAACTCCACTAATGTAGTGCTCCCTAAACTTAGAAGTCATCATCCCACTAACTTGGTGCCACTATCGATTATCTCACTTTCTTAGTGCCACCATAATTGGTGCCACTAAATTTAAAGCATTCCTTCAATAGAGTGCTCTACCACCTTTAAGATTGATCTCTTCAACTTCTAACCACTATAATTCGGCAAGCTCAAAATTCTCTAGCTTTTCTCATGCGAAGGAAGCTCGTACTCTGGGAAGAACTCTCTAATAGGTTGTAACCCGAATTTACCAAAGAGGGGGCAAATGTTGGAATGACTAGCCACGTAGAGAGTTGGGAAAGATCGGTATACTAGATCATTCTCAAGAATCTCGAAAATACGACTTGGCTGACTTTCGAAGGTCAACCGAGGGTGACCTGTAAGCTCGGTCATATATTTGTTGGTTGAAATGACTGCTATGATCTGAGCTAAGGAACCAGACAGTGTGTAACTATGCAACATACTGCCTGACAGCATAACAAAATGGTCGAAAGCCCTCATCACCTAACACTTTGTAAATAATCGTTCCATTCTAACCATTGGTATGCAATATTATTCTCCTGGTTGGGAGCTTCCATCGGTCTTCTGTTGACTTCAGCATTAGAGTGTTTGATTCTTTTGTGCAACTCTTTCTTGACCAAGTTCACCCTCGAAGTTTTGCCATACCCGATCTATCCAATTCTTTATCAAGATCAGAATTAACAATAAAAATGATTCAAAA